TAGCTAAAAATAATTAAAATTAATACTATTCAAACTTTTATTAATATTAAGTCTCTAAAGTTTGTATCATAACAATTTTAGATTTTACCTGTTTTACTTTTTATTGATACAAGCGCACCTTTTACCTACTCGGCGCTATCACCGTCCGATGGATTCTTCCACCGGGCAGTTACTTCAGGCTATTTCTAGCGGTATGTCTCTCACAATTTTATTTCTAAGGTGATTTTGAGAAAACTAAGATAATGTTCAGTTCAGGAGAAATTGACATTAATACAACTGATGAGGTATGAATGCTTTTATTTGATGTTTACAGAATGGTCTCACGCCGCTCCAACAAGCCTGCTTTAGTGGACAGACCGAAATAGTCGAATTTTTAATAAAAAATGGAGCGAACGTTAATTCAAACAAGCATAAGGAAGGTTACACTGCTTTGATGTTTGCAGGAATTGTAGGTAATTTGTGCCCATTATAACATAGAGGTAACTTACAAATTGTCGAGATTCTTCTGCGCAATGGAGCGCGGATAAATGACACAAATCGTCTTGGAAGAACTGCATCTCAGATGGCCGCTTTTGTTGGTAAAATTTTTAATATAACCAGCATTTAGGAAATCACCAAGCGGTCGCATTAATTAATAACTTCATTGAAAAAGACACCATATTGCACTATACCAGGATACATGGGCTTTCTAAGGAGCCAAAGATATCACCAGTACTTGCCAATACTCTCCATGCATTGATCATCAGTCCAAACTTTACTCCAGTTAAGGTACAATTCTTTAATTTATTTAATCTATTTTTGAGCGAGTATCCTGTCAAAATGTTTAATTAAGTTTTTAGACGATAAAATGATTAATGCCATTACATTTAATTACCAAATATTAACCTATTGTTTTGATGAATACTATGCATGATTTTTTCTAGCAATCACAATAAAAACCTACATCATGAACCCTAGTACTAAGTCTATGACTTCATATGTCCTAGTCTCTTGTGTGCCAACCCACAAAGTTGTGGTTCAACATTTAACCTGATCAAAGCAATCAGTACCACAACATTTGTGGGTTGGCAGCAAGAGACTAGGACATAGGAAGTCATAGACTTGGTATTAGGGATAGAAACAGGATAGACGAGGCGGAGACTGGAGCTAGTTGATTGACAATAGGTTTTACCATGGACATGGTCCATGTAGCAAAGGCGGGTCCATAAGACTTACTCAGAGTCTTTAGCTTCGAATTAGTCACTAAGATGCAGAGGAGGGGTAAAAACGCATTGAGTAGCACAGATGGGATGGCAGGAGTCGAGTGAAATACGTGAACCTGGGAGATAACAGACGGAGCTTACAGGGAAAGATTGAGACTGATAAGACCTTGGGAAGGAGGACTGCGTAACAATATGACAGATTGATCAACATTCCCAGCCCAAAGGTAAAGGGGGGGTGAGAACGCCAGCGTGGAGTGTTGAGGGTTTTCATAAATGCTGCTCAAACGAGCACACTACTCTACATCTAAATAAGCACGATAAAAATTGTAACATTGAAGGCATGATACGAGGATATTGGAAATGTGAATAGCTTATGGCAGTAGGAGAAAAACCACAACTGTTTGGCACGTTTTGTCAAAGGATCGAATTTACTTGTCTCTGACGAGTTGCTGTGTGGTGCTAATAATGGCAAGACTCACTGACTATGCCGTCGAAACGTCTGGGAATGTACGATGTCCTACTTCGAAATTATCGTACATACAATGGACTTCGGACTCGGTGCGTTCCTCTAGGTCTTCCTACCAATATGACCAAGTTGTGAAAAGGTCAGACAACCTTTCTCAATTATTCTGATTTGCTGCTATTTATAGTGCTTAATATCTTTAGATCAATGCATCTAGATTCCTACCATATATCTACGATTTATTATATTTCCATTCGCTTTGTTTACTCAAGCAGAAAACTTCCCTTACAAATGCATCATAATGAATAAATCACAAGTTATCTCTTAAATAATGAATTTCGCAAATTCATTTTACTTTAACTGGCCTATTTGCCTATGCTCAGGGCAATCGGATGTTCATTATCTTGATAAGCATAGTTGTTAAGATCAAGCTGCCCTTAAT